TGAACTCTCAGACCACACTGCCCAAATTGCCACTCTCCAACTACCATCAGAAAAAATCACAAAGTCAATTAAGGAGAAAAGAAGAACTCTCAACAAAAACACCATAAATCTATTTAAAACCAGGCTCCATGAACAACCCTGGGATTGTGTCTACCACATAGAAGATGTCGATGAATCTTATAACAACTTTCACAGGGCTATCCAAGGAATACTAAATGAGACCTGCCCAGTAAAAATGACAAGGAGAAAACAACACAATCAAAAAAACTGCTGGGATGATGCTGAATGCTCTAGACTAAAAATTCTATATATAAATGCCCTGGAAAAAGAAAACCGCACAGGTCTACCTGAAGACAAAGCAGAAACCGCAGCAAGAAAAAGGGACTATGACCTAAGACTAAAGACTTTGAGGAAAACTCAAACATCCGACTATATAAGCAATGCCGACAACAAGTCCAAGGCACTCTGGCAGGTTATAAATAATGAGAGAAAATCAAGTACCAGTATTGTTATGCCTGACCAGCATGGTTAACTAAGTTAATAGGATAAAACCAAAGAAGAAATAAAACGTTAAAGTTTCACACAAGTTTAATTTTACATTTTAAATTGAATCAAGAAATTTACACTCAAGTAAGTTCATATGCTTAAATTAGATACGCAAGTTCATCTCTAAAAGGATTAATTATTATTTAATTTCCAGAATCTTAAATACTAACATAGAAATACTACATGATAGAGAATACCTAAGTGAACCAGAAAGTGAGAGAGAGACTAGGGGGGGGAGGAATTACTTACTAGTTCGAAAGTTGATGATGGAATGATTGTCTAAAAATTATAAAAAGAGTTCTGTGACAGTTATCCCCTCTACTGTTACTTATAAATTGTATTTACCATATATGGAGTATCCTTGAAAAGGAAAGCTCTCATTGGTTGTGGGTTTGCAGGACAGTGGGGGACATCGTCACAGGAAGTACACTTCCTCGAGACGAGCGCGTGTCAGCTGATAAAATGTTTATACAACTTTCAATAAATTTTGAAAATTAATAAAAGATTTATTTTGACTTATTATTGTTCCCTTAGACTGAATTTAATAAATATACATTGCTTAATAAATATACATTGCTCGTCATCACAGTATAGCAAATGAGTGGGAACTCCTAGTAGATGGGGAGAGATTACAGGACCCAATCAAAATAGCTAACCACCTCAACAGTTTTTTTGCTACAGCCGCGGAAAGGACACTTCAGGCAAACAACACCAACACACACACCAGAACCCCTGAAATTCCTCCTTGAACAGCTAACAAACTAAAATTTCAGCTTGCAACACATAACGAAGTACTAAAAGCAATAGACTCACTTAAACCAAAAACTTCATCTGGCACTGATGAAATATCAGCCAAACTGGTCAAAACATGCAAAAATGAACTGATTAACCCACTAACAGCACTCATTAAATAAGTCTCTCAAACAAGGGGTCTTCCCAACACAGCTCAAAACTGCCAAGGTATACCCTAAATATAAAAGTGGACCAAACACAGATGCTAAAAGTTACAGACCAATTTCACTTATACCGACCTTCTCTAAAATCTTTGAAAAAATCGTCCTTAACAGACTAATATCCCATCTAGACCAAAACCTGCTGCTCACCAGCCAGCAACATGGCTTCCTTAAAGGAAGATCCACTTCCACTGCCTTAATACAGCTCACCGAGCACATAATAGAACAACTAGAAGACGGCTCCTCAGTCACAAGTCTGTTTCTGGACTTTAGCAAGGCCTTTGACTGCCTTAACCACAAGACACTTCTTAGAAAATTGGGAGCTCTGGGTATTGAGGGAAAGTCTAAACAATGGTTCCACAGCTATCTTAATGGCAGACAGCAACTAGTTGAGATTCAGCATGTAGAAAAAAACACTCGCCATAAAATACATTCCGAAACTGTCCCTATACGGAGAGGAGTACCACAGGGATCAGTTCTCGGACCAGTCCTGTTCCTCCTCCTCACAAATGACCTACCAGACCAGCTACAAGAATACTGCCAAACCACAATGTATGCAGATGACACTGTCATCACACTAACCGACAAATCAACGGAAACTTTAAACCGAAACATCAATATAACCTTCAACATGACTAAACTATATTGTACAGTAAACGAATTGGCTCTAAATGAAAATAAAACTGTTCAGCTGAACTACTCTACTAAAAATAAAGACACAAACGTATTAATCCCTGGGATAGAAGCACAAAATAGTACCAAATATCTCGGCATTATCACGGATTCAAAACTGACATGGAAACAGCACATTTGACCAACTCTGCAAGAAGCTACGCTCTGGCATTCATGTCATCAGGCGAATGAAGCAGGTTGGTGGTCTGGTCACCGCAAAAACAGCCTACCATGCCCTGGTCGAGTCACACCTCAGGTATGGTCTGGTGGTCTGGGGAAGTACATCCAACAACTACCTAAAAAGAGTACTTATCCAACAAAAAAGAGCTATAAGATGCCTAGCAGGCCTTCAATATCAAGAAAGCAGTCGTGATGCATTTAAGGAACTAAAAATCCTCACACTGACATCACTTTACATCCGTGAGGCAATTCTCCATGCCATCTCCACAAACCAAACAAGAAACAGAGACATTCACCATCACAATACACGGAACGCCTCAAGCTTTGCAATACCACCTCACCATTTAAGTCTCTTTGAAAAGAAGCCATCCTACAAAGGGGCCCTGTATTTCAACAACCTACCAGAACAACTTAGAAATGAACCAACTCACCGTTTCAAGAACCAATTAACAACATGGCTGCAAGAAAGGCCATTCTACTCAGAAAAAAAATTCCTTGACAACCAGCTTTAACAACATATTAAATCAACAAATCTATACATTAATAGGCAAGCATGTTTCTTTAACCCTTAGAGTGCCAGGCGAGAAATAAAAGTAACGCTCAAAAAATGCCGATGATTTTTCCCGAAGGTCGCGCTAAAAATGCCGAGCGCGATCTGGCGATTTTTAGGTTAAAATTTCGTAAAAATCGAATTTTCGATATTTCGACCAACGAAAATCGATGTATCGCATCTAGTAACTTTCGGCTCAATGTTAATATATGGGTTAAAAGAATCCGAGTATCCATTCGGTTGTTATGACAACTGTTCGATCATTACGAAACGTCCGGTCAGCCGGACGTTGGCACTTTTGGCTCGTTCTAAAAACGTCCGGCCGGCCGGACGTCGGCACTTTTGGCTCGTTTTAAAAACGTCCGGTTCCCCGGACATTGGCACTCAAAGGGTTAAAACCTTTTTTCTCAGCTCGTGTGCATCGCAGGGAAAATCTACGAATACTGTTGTATAGATATTTTCCTGTAGATGTGCAGAATCCCTTTATAAATTAAAATAGGCTCAAAAATAAGCACAACAAATGAATTTGAAAACTTAAAAAAAATAACATGGGAGTTATGGGTTGCCATGATAGTGACGAAATAACAACAAAATATAAACAGAAAATCAAAACAAATTCCTATCACATGTTTTATTTACAGTGTAGGGTTAACACTGTACATAACATAATGTAAGAAACAGCCATGTGGCCGTAACTTTGCCTGAATGAATAAAGAATTTTTCATTTCATTTATTATTTTTTCATTTAATTTCATTTACATATTTTTGGTCGAGTTTTCGACCACTGGATGACCTCTAGTTTTAATTATTATTCTGACGCATGTACTGTTCTCAACGAATATGTAAATAAAGATCATTGTCTATTGTCTTTTGTCTATTGTCTATTGTCTATGTCGCGCTGCTCAGAACCAGGGCACTTTTAACAGTTTCTTAATGTCATAGAAAAATTATATAACTTTTGAATATCAGCCCTCTTAATAATTTCTTGCACTATACTCTTGACTTTTCGTCAGAAGTTTGTCTTTATAGCAAAAAATACTAACTTCCGAAAAATCGGAAGTTGGTCTCTTAAGGGTTAATTAATGTTTAACCCAAAACAGTAGTAAAATCTGGGGGGGATTGTCCTGAACTTCATCTATTTTGGTAGTATTTAAATACCCCCGCCGCAGCAAACCTGCCGTCCAAGCGAATTTCCATTTGGCTGAATTGATTTTCAATTGATCTATTTAAATAACATTAGGTTTAACGAGTACCTAGGTTTGCTGCTACAAGGAAACTAATAAAGTGTGTGTTTTTAAGTAAAATAATTTTTGCTTAGTATAAAATGAATATATTTGCCAAGTTTGATCAAAAGATATCCATAAACAAGCAAACTACAACATTTTACAATATTCTCCATAAGAATAACATGGGAATTTTAAATTTAATTTTTTTTTAGTTTTCTCCGTAACCAATAACCGTACAAAAACACTTTGATATACTAAATTGTTTGTTTTTTTAAGCTCTTTAAGAAGGTTTAGAGAAAAATTTGAAAATTTTGTGTTTTGAGGGTCAAAAGTGAGAAAAACCAATTTTTACCCCATAAAATCCTGTTCCCATGGTTCGATCATGCTGGATCGCGAACTCATTCAAGTTTATCTCGCCTTACACCTTCAAACCAAATTTCATCAAAATCGGATAAAAATTACTCAAGTTATCGTGTTCACGGACACATATATATATAAATCTATATATATATATATACATATATAAAATTTTGAACGAATGGTGTTTTTGGCCTCTGGGGACATCAAAATGAAAAAGTAAATCGGTCCCGGGCCTAAGTCTTACCATGAGACCTACGGTAATAGCTACTTCCCTATAGGGAAATTCGCTAACAGAGTAAAACACCACCTCATTAAGCACATATTTAACAACAGTTTCGCATGTATATTAGCCGTCCTATGATTTGGTCATAGGACAGAGAAATGGCCTGATCTTTTTGAAAATCCTAAAAAACCACCCCTCATCTACTTTGCACCTTATTCAGACCATGGGTCTACACTAGGCTATTTCTTTCAACTGATATTGTATGGCAAAAAACACAAACTGGGTCTAAATCAAGTAAAAAAACATATTATATTTCAAATTAATCATCTCCAACAGAATACTATATAAATGTTATGTAACAAAATTGTTTATCATATAATAGGTTCATGAAAACAATTCAAACTCTCACATGTAAAACATAAATTAAATATGTCTGTTCTTATATCTAAGAAATAAAAAAATCACAGTTGTGTATGGACATGTCGCATAATATGCTGCTAATCACGATTTACAATTTCTTCTTTGCTCTAAAGATGACGATTTCGTCGGAAGAGTACAGAGAATGCTGGTCCTTGGTTGGGACTTTTTCACAGTCAAAATGTTTGTTGAACAGCTGGAGGAACATTTTCCAAGCTTGTTGCTGCTTTTCAGTGTCCCGTTCCTCCTGACAGAGGATAATTTCTGTGTTCTCCGATGACAGAGCGACCATCGTCTCTACCAGCGGTTCTACAGACTAACACAGATAAGTGTAACTAGGAGTAGTATAAATCAAATACAAGTGTTTAATACAAATTTTTATCACAATGCTTTGCTTTAAAGTAGGCTAGTTATATAGAAGAGTAGGAATACAACTAGAGTATTACTTAGAGTGGTAGGCCTACTAAGTTATCAACAGAAAACACCATTAGCATAGGTAATTAGGGAAAAACTAAAATAAAATATGTATCATTTCCCAAGATGTTCACGTTTCATTTACCGAGATTTTTCGCTTGACATGAAAAATTTGACGCTCAACCTAATTAAGTTAACTAAAGTAGTTTTATTTTCAAGAAATTTAAGTTTAACAAAGTGGTACTTTACTAAACTAGTGTACTGTACTTGTTTTTGATGGAATTTGGGGAGCTAGCTGGTCTAGTGGTAGAGCGCGGGACTTCGGTCCTTGAGGTCTCAGATTCAAATCGCCCCAAATTACCAATGTATTTTATTTGAATGAAATGCCCCAACCCCTAAACCTGAGGATATGTGAAAAACAATCCCGGGCTCATGCCTAGTGTCTTTGGACAGAAAAAATTTGAACGGAGTTCAAAGGTAGTTTCTGACCGCTATAGCATAGTTTAGAAAACACTTGATAAAACATACCTCGTTGTAGTACACACAATCGGCAGCTATCAGCAAGTCTGGCGGAGGGAAGTTCTGACCGTCTATTGAGCCCCATCTGAGTGGCTTAGCTTCTGCATTGCCTCCACACGGTTGCCATAATTTTCTGTTGTGCTCTATGTTGTTGGTCAAGTTATCCAGAACCTCGGGGAGGTCAGTCATTGTTACTTTTGCACTATAAAATAAATGCATGCTCTTTTGTAATATAATGCATAAATAGCTACTAATTCACAATTGAACTTAACATGGAGCTAAGTTGACTGGAACCTGACTGGAACCTACCCTTTAACCCTCTTTAAGTGTAACAGATTCATCTTCTCATGTAATTGTGGATGAGAACCGATCAAAATACTGCAATTAAACTCAAATTTTATATAGGCCTAAACATGTGCCTTGCTATAACATCATTCATTCTGAATGGTTATTTTAGAACTCACAGTCTTAAATACTCAAGCTGGTTACAAGTGGTTGAAGAGCTTGTTTTCAAAACTGAATATTTCTGGTTCAATAAGAAACCCTGTTGATTGATTCTGGACTTAGATGCTATTAATCATTGGTCAAACAATTAATAATACTATCTCAAAAAACTAGTTGAAGTGGATATCTCAACCCTAGCCAAAATGGCAGATATTCAAAAATTTGATTTACTCTATGTACGGAAAGTAAATAAAAGAAACGTCTTAAAACACTTAAAACATATATTTACGCTTATACTATTACTCACAAGACGGTAAATATACAAAAAAAGATGGTAAGTGGTGATCAATTTTGATTGGAGACACTCAAATCATCATCAGACCCAATAGGCGAATGACAAGAATCTTGAATAGCATCCCCTTGAATAGCTACTCTATGTGAAAAAGTAAATTTCACAAATATAAAAACAAATCTGTATTTTAAAAATTGAAATAGATAGAAATATTCTGTTTGTGTAATTGATTGTTAACCCATATCGTCTTATTATTTACCAAAAATCTCAATACTGTATCACTGAAACGTTTAAAATAAAAATAATAAATTTGCCTATTTTTTAAGATGTTAGATGGTATTTTATAGCTGCAAATTATAATAAAATGCATAAGTATATATAATTATGTATTATATATGTATTGTAAAAAACACTAAGTTATTGTACATATTTATAAAAAATAGGTGAAATATACCTGTCTGAAAAAAATTAGACTATTTTATAAGTTTTTTATAGTATTTTATAGCTGAAAATAAATGTACAGGCCTATGTATACGTATGATTTTGGATGTTATATGTATATTTATATGTATTTAGGATGTGTTTACACTATTTTTTATACTTCTCACAAAATACATATACCTGTCTATATTACGTAAATATCAAATCCTTTAAGGAATCTTATATTTTAATGATCAAAATTTATATGTAAATACTAGCTGTTTGCCCATTCTACGTACGGGAATCTTGTAGTAAGTTGAAACCTAATATTCAGAACAGGAGTTGGTTTGCAAATTTAGTGTGCATTTTTCAGATATGCTGGCAAAACTAATACTGTACAGGAATACATACAAACCTTCGCAAATCTGACAGTTACAAAGCCAAAACGAATGCTTCGCAATTAAATGTCACCCGATCATGTTAGTCCATATTTTATATTTAATGATAAAAGAAATTGCTTTATAAGATCTATGGAGGCATAGCCCTAAGGTAGGCCTGTAATTGAAACCTGTAATTGAACTTTTCACACTGGTTAAAAGTAGTTAAAATACTACCTCAACCTCACTACTGCACACTTTATTCGGGTTGAAATTTTTATTAACAAAGGTGCTCTTGTCTTTTCCACGAAACACTGAGAAATAAAGACATTAATGCGTTAATAACCAACAGACATACACACACAAATACAGAATTGAATACACATTACGGATTAAGGATTAAGGATTACAACATTAAGGATTTGCTACGCTTTAACCAAAGTAAATTACAATCAAAATAATTATTTGCAAGTTTTTGTGGTGTCATCAACTTTTTTGATACCCGTTTTTAGCCCTAATCAAACTGTAAAATCCGTTGGCAAATATATAAATAAGTCAATAAATACATAGTCCACGAAACATTTATACGTTGACAACGCCAAGCTTTAAAATTCATGATGGTTTGCTAAAAAAATCGTTCACTAATTTTTTATTAATTTCATAGCATAAACTAACATTTTGGAGTCCAGACAGAAAACGCTAAAATTATACTGTAAGACATCAATTAAATTTAATAAGAAATAAGGTGCAGCACTAACGATAACTATAGTTGTAAATAGTGATGTGTTTGTACGCAAAAATGATTCTCACTGCTACCAACGGTTCTAAGGAAAAGTAGCAGTACCAAAAACCAACGTTTACATTTAAGAAAAGAACTATAGTACTTACGACCAATTCAAACTGTCCTTCTAATAAAACTGTATTATCTATTATACTTATTTAATATGCAAGCAGGTTTTTGTGACAATTACTCCTCCGAAACTACTGAACCGATTGACATGTTTTTGGTGTCATTGGAAAGAGCGTAACGTGAAGTTTTGCAGGAAACTTTTTTTTGGGAAATAATTAGAGAGTGAGGCCCTGGGGCCCTTTAAAGTTTTGTATTTCTCCATAAGATTAACATGGGAAACAAACATTGTTATGAAACTCCAGCTGTTGTCAGAAATGCTGTTCTGCTATAGCTCTTTGTTTTGGGGAAAAATGTATCTGTATGTTGGAATAAAAAAAAAGTGATATGTTTACTCGTTTGGGCTGTGAATTCGTACCTTTGATGCCTTGCGCTGTCGGAGCACTACTCGTTGAGAGTGTGTACACTAACACCGGGGCTCTAGAATACAACGATAAACGTATTCTTTCAATGTTAAAGGATGTTAATAATTACGTGATGTTAAAGTATTCTAAAGCCCCGGTGTTAGTGTACAAACTCTCAACGAGTAGTGCTCCGACAGCGCAAGGCATCAAAGGTACAAATTCACAGCCCAAACGAGTTAACATATCGCATTTTTTTTTATTCCAACATACAGATACATTTTTCCCAAAAACAAACAGCTATTTTTAAATTTTTTAATTTTTTTTTTAATTTTTTTTTTAATTTTTTTTTTAATTTATAAAAAATAAAAAATAATTTTTTTTTTTTAATTTTTAATTTTAAATAGCTAGTGATTATTATCTTATTTTTCCACACCTGAATGCAAATTTTGGTGAGAATCGCATTACCCATTCTCCCTGTGAACTGGTACCAAAGATTAAAAATTTACTACTTTCAAGCTCCATATCTCGCTTAGTATTCAAAATAAAAAATTTTTTCTTATATATTTGTATCTCTAATTTTTAGTACAACTAAACAATAACAAAAAATCAGACATGAAAATTTGCGACCAAACACCCTTAATTTAACTAGATAACCCGTTGCTCGAAATCAAGCAAAACTGAAGCTTGTATTAAAAAAATCAACAAAAACATAAACGGCAAGCAAGACTTTTATCGAGTCACTCTAAAATAATTTATATCACTGATTATAGAAATATAAAATATTATGATGTAAAAAATATAAAAGTAATCTACAATATTTAAATTTACATTCACTCTCATACTGCTTTGGTTATCTCTTATGTATAGTAGGCGGGTGCACTCTATGAGCACGTAGATGACAACCACACACTGTAAAGTGAGCTTTTGACCTAATGTAGCTCAATTCCTCTCTTGACGCCAACCATCGCTACTCTTATTCTAGCATTGTTAAATTATTTCTTTGATGTGTTCTGTTTTAGGCGAGTTTAAATTAGGGGCCCCAACCCAAGTCTCCGGTTGGGAACGTAAGAGTTAAGCAAGTGGATTTAACGACAGATCTAGAATGGATACACCTTTAACATTATTAGTCTTGGAAAAAACTATTGGCCAGGTGGTGCTTTGTTTTCAGCTTTAAAAATTGCTGCGACACCTACACAGGTAGCACCATTGTACCGAGGGAAGTCACTTCTTCTGTCTCTTATTATGTACATAAGAATCTCACTTGACTCCTCGGAGCTCTCGTCCCTAAATAATGTCTGCCACAGTCTTCAAAGATTTCCATAGGTGTTTGGCATTATGACCCTATTTTCCGCATATTTTTTCATTGAAATTTTTGTTTGAATTTTGCTTAATTCTCCTTTGGGTTCTAGTGACATTGTCGTACTTACTTATATATCTGTGCGTATTCAGGATCATCATCTTCTTGAGGAATTAGAGGACCCACTCGGTGGTAAAACATGTCACCGATCTTAAAATTGTAGATCCCCAATGGAACTGTCTCATCTTAATGAGCTTCAAAGCTGAGCATGATAAAGGCAGAATTGAATTGACAAACTTTATACAAATAATTTCTGGATATAAGTCTCACAGTCCTATTTTCAGATTGGGCGTTTCCAATAAGAATCTGAAGATACCTTCAGGTGAATTGCATAAATGAGGTAATCGAACCTTTCATTTATGGAAACAAAGAGTAAAAACTTAACTGTCTCGGGCAGCATTTTCTTGCTTAAAAATAAGTAAGCCACTACAATGTAAACATTTAACGTTCATTTGTCCGAGATTGGACTATCACAACGGTGGTACTACCACTATGTACCCATCAAATGTTCAATTGAGAGGTTGATGCAAGCGGTCATGTTCGCGTTCCCTCCAGCCACTCACAGTTCTTCGTCGTAGCCTACTGGCGGCATCTATATATTAATACGCAAGCATTTTTCTTTTGATTTTAAATTGAAATTAATAAGAAAGTTAACCAAACGACAGAAAACACTATAAAGGAATTGGAATTTTGATACACATTGTAAATCACATGACAATATGGCAATGTAACGGATAACTGCCCTGTGAATAATTACTTTTAAACATTCAATTCATCACATCGAACTGTAACTACATGATAATCAGTAAAATACTATGTAAGGTAAATCAATTTAACCATAGACAAAAAGAATTAAATATTTATCAAATATTTATTCTTAAACACTTTGTTGTCTAGCATTGATAGAAAACTCTTCATTATGAACCAGACTTAGTTAACAGATTAAAACAAAATATAAATTCCAGCTTTGCTCTGGAAGTTTTCAGTCCTGCAGTCTGTGGTTAACCTTAAAAACTATTTCAAACTACGTCCATATGTTATTTGTAAACAAAGGGAAATGA